GACAGCACGGAGAACGGGGGGGGGGCTGTGGGGGGGGGGGGGAGTGATCCCGGTGCCTGTAACCCATCCCTGCCTGTGCCCGTCACTGTCTTGGCTCTAGGGAAAAGCTTACAGCTTCCCTGTGCTGCTGCCGGGTGTTTTTAGTGCCTTGTCCCCCTTTACTCCAAGCACCGTGGTGATACTTGCTTCATTTTTAACCCCAGAAAGGCTCCAGGAAACCATCCCACTGCTCCATCAGTCTCTATTCCCGTCCTGCGGTGCCTCAGCTGCTTCCATCCTTGGAAAGGGTGATTCTGCAAAACATTAACCAAAGCCCACCAAAACAGGTCGGCAGCCTTCAGTCTGTGCAGAGCGAGCCAGTGACCTCATGCAGGTGGCACAGACAAGGTGACCGTGGGGACAGCCAGGAACACCTCCATCCTGCGCAGCTGGCCTGGGATCATCGTGCCAGGACCATGGACCTGCCTCTGCCCTGGGCACAGCCTGCCCTGGCAATCCTGCTTCTCCCCAGAGCTTCCCAGGCCCATTTCCAGCTGGATCTGTTCCCTGATGGAGTGTACCAGCCCAGCAGGGTGGCCGCGCTGTCAGACACCGTTTATGTATAAGCCTGTGCTTGGTTCAGCTGGAGGGGTCTGTGAAACCAGCACTGCTGCAGAGTGGAGCACACGGGTCCTTCCAGCCCAGGGGATGAGGGAGAACTATCCCCACCCATCAACCTCTCCTGCTGCGGATAAACCCGAGGCTTTGTACCCTTTCCCTGCGGATGAGGAGGGGGTTATTCCTCACCCTCTGCAAGGAGAGGCTTTTCACACTGCCGCTTATCCCTCATAGGGTAAACAGACACAGCGTGGCCACTCTCACCCCAGGGGCTGCCCTCCCACTGTCCCAGCCAAGGCATCCTGCCTCCTGGCACAGCCACCCTCGGTGACAAACAGAGGATGCAAGTTCAGTGTTGCAGGTTCCTGTGCTGCCTTTTGGAGGCCAAAACTCAGTTTTGCTTGTTTTTATCCTGGGAGGCAACTGCAGGGGACACAAGTGCCCTGTGGTTGGGGTGAACGTGTCTGTGCCCCATCACCTCCCAGCCCCTTTTCTGCCTTCCTCTGGCACATCTGGGTGCTGGGACCTTCACCCCTGTACCGTGTTTTTTTGTAAACAAAAGGGAACAGAAACCCTTTGCTCCCTCCCAGCATGGGCAGCACTGCTCGGAACTCAACGGAAAGCTGCCCAAGCCCCTGGCACCGGATGGGTAACCCCTCCACCAGCCTCTTAAAGCCCATCTCCCTTTAGGGCACCTGCTCAGCACAGAGCTGACACCCCACATCTTCCATCTGCTCCCTCACATTCCACAGGGCACCAGCTCCGACACGAGGCTGCAGCAGCCGTGGAACCCCAGCTCTGCAGGGACACTTGGGTGCATTTGCTTCATCAAGGGCAGTGTGGATCAAACCCCAGCCCCGCTGCTCCCGAGCCTGGCTGGAGGCAGAGGGAGCATCTCCCCTGCGGTTCTGGCCAGGCAGGCTCCCCGTGCCACAGAGGCTGTCTCCATGCTCACAGTGAAAGCCCTCTGTAAGCACGACTGAAGCAAGACATGATCTCTGCTTCAAGGCTGGAGGTTTGCCCAGGGCTCAGTGCTATCAGCTCCCATGGCCATTTTTCCACACCCCCATCTATTCTAACAGCCTCATATAGAAGAGGTGTGCTCAGCAAGGAATGTCTGGGCTCTGGTTCAAACTCATTTTGGTTCTAGTCTCTTGAGCTGGCTGCAAAAAACAACCTGATTAGAGATTCCTTGTGAACCCACAATAGCCAAAACATCAGATGTCCCTGATTTCTGTCGGAACTCTCTGAAATGAAAAGCCAGCAGCAATCTTTCACCCACACCCCTCAGAGTCAGGCAGTGGCCAGGACAAGAGCCCAGGGCGGGGGTCAGCACATGTACAACCATCTTGAGCTCTGTGCTTGGCTGGACACCGCGTTCCTCCTCCTCTCCTCACAGAGGGCTCCTGCCCATCCTGCCATCGAGAGCACTGGCTGGTCCCCCTTGTTCTGTGCTGTGCCTTGTTCCTTTCTGCAAGCCCCATCCTGGGGGGAGCAGGGGACACCCCGGCCGTGGCTCTGCTCAGCACAAAGCCAGCTCCCACATGCCTAGCTTTCTTCCAAGACCTGTGCCATGGAGGCAGCGTGGATCCCGGTTACACATTCCCAGCTCCAGTCTAATCCCTTCTGGCTATTTTTAAAACCCCATCCTCATTCTAGTCCTTTGTACCCAAACACGGAACAAAGGCTGAGCCATCCTTATCCCCTCCAAACCCCTGCTCTCAACTCCAGGCTCTGACCCCACGGATTTCTTGGGGGGACAAAAGGCAACAGCCCCGTCCCCCAGCGCGGTGGCCATGGGATGGAAGAGCAGAACTGGCACAGTCCCCTCACCCCGGGTTTGCTGGTGGCTGCTTTCTCTCTGGTGCATCCTCCCTGCGCCCGCTTTTTCCCTTCTCATTCCGCTGGCTGCCGCAGGGGTGCAGTGCTCCCGCGGAGCAGGAGGGCCAGGCAGGGCTCAGGGCTCTCCCCATTTCTGCTGCGGGGAGAGGAATGCAAGAGCAAGGTATAAATATCCACCACGCTCAGCACTTGCGCAGACTCTGCCTCCGAGAACGCGCCGAGCGTCACCCACAGCCCTGCATTCCCCTGCTCCCCTCTCCCCAGCTGCCTCTCCTGTTTCCAGCCCCGGGTTCACAGTCTTTGCTGCCAGCACTTTGATTTCATCCCTCCCTCCTCCCCCGTTCCCTCTTGAAAAGGAGGAAAATAATAGAGCCTTTGTTGGGCTGCTGCAGCAAAGGCACCACGCGAGGAGCCGCACGGGGGTAAGGGGCTGGCG